CAACTTCTCGGAATAACTATTCCCCAAATATGTCCATCTATAGATGTCCTGAGTTCCCTGTACCCCACAGTGTTTCACTTCCATATTTGGGTTTTCATTATTCCACCACTGGGAGGAATTGAACTGGCAACCGTCCGATTTGCAACCTGGGAGCATAACCGCTATGCTATCGACCCGCAGGTCTATTTTATCCAAATTGGTCTACTGGATCAAAAGTTACTTACTATCAAACATTTTAAAATTTTTAATAGTATTTCAAATATGTATGAATATATTACTTATTAGCCTTTGGTTACATAACTATGAAAGGTATTTTATTTATAGTCACATCTCTATATAATTACCAAAATAGAGTACGACCAACTTGTAATTATAGAGAGGTCTAACTATATCTTTTTAGATACGCAAATAAACAAGAATTTATCTAGCTTAAAGCAAAGAGTGTGAAGCTTAATAAAGCTACAAAAAAGAACTTATAAAACTAACTAAAGTTTAGTATATATATATATAAAAATCAAGATCATTTTTTAGTAGTATACAATATAATACTTGATAATTAAAATGTAATAATTAAAATCACACAGACCAATCAGGTATAAGATTTTGTAAAATAATACTATTTCAATCTGTATATAACCATATACTACATAATATAAATTATTCTATTCTAGATTCTATTTATCTTCTTGATATTAATTTCTCTGACAATCACCTCTCTAACAAATTATCTCCTGACACAATCATTTTCCTGACATTTATCTCTCTAACAAATCGTTTTCCTGACACAATTATTTTTTTGACAAATCATATTCTCAATACAATTATTTTCCTAACAAATTATCTTCCCAATATAATTATTTTCTTTTATTTTCAACTATTCTTTACCCAACACATTGAAGAGATGATTTGCTGGAAAATAATTGTATCAGTAAAATAATTTGTTAGGAAATAATTGTATCAAATAAATAATCATATTGGGTAAATGATTTGTTAGAAGATAAATATCAGAAAAATAATTGTGTCAAGGAGATTATTTGTTAGGAATTTGGTTGTTATAAAAATTAATATCAGGAAAATAATAAAGATTTCTTTATTTCTGATATATTATTATAATAGTTTATTTAATTTCTATTTTTTTTTTATAATACTTCAGCAACAGTTTCTTTAAAAACTTAGAAAGATTAGTTAATAATTATGAGAATAATTATTTTATAAATTATTATTATTTTTTTCTTGATTGTAAAATTCCAAAATTTATATTGTTTTTTTTTTTTTACAAGTTTAGAGATTTATATAAATAATGTAAAATATTTTAAGTTTTTTAATAATAATTATTAAATATAGGGGGCTACTATTTTCACTATGATAATTTACTATTTCCACTATAGTTATACAAGATTTTTTATTTTTAAATAATAATATAAAAAACTCATAATCCTAATACTAACTCTAATCTTTAACTCTAATACTAACTCTAACCTCTAACCCTAACCCAAACCCTAAAACTATAAACATTTTTCTAGCTTTAAGTAAACTTGTAAAAGAGACTTTTTTGGTTCTAATAGTAGTTAGATTATCAAAATCGGCTTGGTGAATTTCAAGATATTTGGGGTTAAAAGCACAAATATAAAGATCTACAAATTCACTATTATATAAAGTATTATAGTCTATAATACTATATTTATGCCTTCAAACCCAAATATCTTGGGTTCTATCAGTTAGAGTTAAAAGAAATATTTGCTTATTAGCTTTAGAGCTAAAATTAGAATAATTAAAGCTAAAGTTAGTTTTTTAAAAATTAAAGATGTTTTTAATAAGTAAACATTTCTTCTAATTTTAAATAAAGTTGTAGAGAACATTTTTTTGGTTTTAATAGTGGTTAGATCATTAAAATCAGCCTGGTGGATCTCAAGGTATTTGGGTTTAAAGACACAAATATAAGTATTATAGACTATAATACTTTGTGTAATAGTAATTTGTGGATCTTTATGTTCATGGAATTCACCAAGCTAATTTTGATAATCTAACTACCATTAGAACCAGAAAGTCTCTTTTACAATCTTACTTAAAGCTGAAAGAAAGATTTATTTATTAAAAGTTTTTTAATTTTTAAAAAACTAATAATTTACTATATAAATGCTAAAAATAGAAAATTTTATATAACTATAGTGTAATACAAAACCTTATTTTTGTATTTTTTTAAGATCAATATAATATCTGAAAATATAATACTACAAGTTTAGCTAGTTCTTGAATGTTTAATAGTTATCTTTTGCAAGCTGTTCATTATTTTGAACTTATTCATGATACTAAAAGGTTTTTGAGAATTTACTTGCTTTTGTCTAACTATTGTAAATAAATTTTAATAATAATATTTTCTAGTTAGAAGAATGTTTGTATATATAAATTTTAATATTTTTTTATTATTAAATAATATAATTATTGAATATATAGCAAATAAGAATTTCCTTTAGTATAGAAATACTATAAGATTATAATATAAAAAACTCTAACTCTAATCTTAATCTAACTGTAAACTATACTATAATTCTCACTCTAACTTTAACTATTCTTAAATTTGCTTAAATTAGTTCAAATAGCTATTTTTATATATTATAATCTTATAATATTTTTATATTGGCTATCTATACTAAAAATCAACCAAAGAATGCTATAAAAATCTTTGAAAATGTGGTTTTTTTATATAGTGTATCTAAGCTAAAAAAGTATAAAATTTTAAATCTTAACCTTTTTTTAAATAATCAATTTAATAAAGATATATATTTACTTGATATATATATTAAATTTTCTTTATTAATTTGGTTTAACCCCAAAATTAGCCAATCATAATTTAGAATTATTTGTTATTAAAATTTATTATGAGTTTTTACAAAAACAGTCTTTTAAACTTACTTTGAAGTCATAATTAAGTGTGTAGAATATTGCAATATCTACATGTTTAATTATTAGCTAACAGTAGATTAAAAAGGCTGTTTTTTTAAAAAATTACTTTGAATTTGCCCTTACCTATTATATAACCGATTATTCAAATAGCAAACTAATTGTTCACTATCTGAATATACCTAAATGCTTCAACAACTAGTGATAGTGTTTTCTTTTACACTTAGTATAGTTGTTTATTCCATATAAAGGCTAAAAAGTTGGGTTTATTAAATGTTTTATTTGTTATTCTTCATGTTACTTAAAAGCAAAATGGTTGTGTAACTGTTTATTGAAAAAAGACTCCTAAAAATCAAATTGGTAGATATGATATAATAGTAGATATTCAACTACTATAAAATTATCTACCAAATTAATTTATTTTTAAAGAATATATTTAAAAGTACAAAATATACTAATACTCCCAAAAGAAAAAAATTTAAAAAAAATTATTTTTTTGTTTTTTGTGTATATTTAAAATAAAAGTACAAAAGTCTAAAAATTATATTTAAATATTTAAATATTTCTGTTTCAAAAAAAATTCTATTAAATATTTGTCATTCACTATTTGATATTGTTTTTGTTATTCCCCGTCTTATTATGATCGCATAACGGGATTTGCGTGTTATTAATCACAATTATCATCACAAATTGTTTTCTTTTTTTTTCTTATTTGTTATCACCCCGGACTTTATTGTTATCACCCCAGGGAAATAACAAATAAGAAAAAAAAAGAAAAAATTTGCAATATAAGTTGTGATTAATAAAATGTAAATCCCCGTCATGCGATCATAATGAGACGAGGAATAACTCATTTATTTCACCGTGCCGGGGAAATAATTAAAATATTCCTCCAGCGGTGTTTGTATGGGGTGCTTTGCGCCCCATACATATACCTCTGGGAAATATTTCATTGTTCCCACCGTCCCGGGGAATAAATAGTACTTAATTACCACCACCACCACTAATAATGATAATGATAATAATAATGTAGTACTTGGTGATTTGGGTAATAATATTCTTTTAATAATTAATACTGGATACAGAAAGTTGCTATTATAAATAGTGCCATTTATTACAACAATAATTTTTTTACTAGTATACATATTATTTATAATTATTTTTAAAATTCTTTAATATACCAGATTTACCTTTTGTAATAATCAAAGGAGGAGTAAATTTAGAATTTGGTATAAATAGTAATTTTGAATCATCATTAATTGGAGAAATTGGAGACATTGAAGAAGAAGTTGGTGAAGTAGAAGAATTTATTGAATTTGGTGATATAGGAGAAGTTATTAATGGTGAATCAGTTGAAGAACTTGAAGAAGTTGGAGAATTTAAATTAACTATTCCTACAATATCAGATTTTAAATTATTACAAGTTTTAACTCTTCTTGGTCCATTAATTAATTTATTATTTAATGATGATGTTCTTGGAGTTACTTTATTCATAATATCATCACTAGAATCTGGAGAATATTTTGATAAAGTAGGTGAAGATGGAATTCTTGAAAGTTTTTGGGAATTATTAATAACTTTATTATCATCATAAAATTCATTAACTTGATTTTTTGTTGATAATTTAATATCATTATTATTTTCATTATCACCAATTATTA